ATTTCGGATCTTGGCTTTTCGGCTTTCGGATTTTGGCATAAGGTTTTAGGGCTTGAGGGTTTAGGGATTGGAGCAGAGGGGGGGTTTAGGGTTTAGGGTTTAGGTTTCAAGGGGCATTTTCTGTAATGAGGCAGCTCTGTGAGGGCCTTGTCGGCTGTTTGCGCCACCTTGCGTTGGCTGTCAGTATATGGGTAGTTCTCTAACGTAGATCCCCGTTAGGGTTTATGCAAGCATGCCGTACTATTTTGGGGGTCCTAGTTTAGAGAACTACCCATATCAGACGCTGCATGTCTGCTCTAAGTGGTTTGGTTGCTGAACTCTGGCAGTGGGGCTAGGAGTCGCGACCCGTGAACTGATGAACTAGCTGACTGACTCCATAACTAAACAACAAGTACATGGAGGTCGAATTGATTGAAGACAAGCACACACTCACATGTACTAGCAAGATATTAGGGATTTCAAGCTGAAGATGGCTAGCGTATGCATGCTTATGTCGTCCCTTTCTTTTTTTTCTCTCGCTCTCTCTCTCTCTCTCTCTCTCTCCCTCTGACTCTCTCTTTCCTTTTTCTTTCTTTCCCTGTCTCTCTTGCACGGACGGACGGACAGATAGACAGATAGACGCGGGCGGACAGGTAGACAGGCACAGACAGGCAGACATGCAGACAGGCAGCCAGGCAGGCAGCCATCAAAGCTGTACAATCATAGACGCAACTATAGGTACAATGATGGGAAGTCGTCTCGAGGTTTGGGTGTGAGTAGTCTCCACGTTCTTTAGGCTTCAGGGTCAGTCTTTACGGTCGAGATGGTTGGTAGCTAAGGCCACTCTGTAAACTTCTGAAGCTCTTAACCCACCATACAAAAAAAGCCCGACCTAAGAGCCTTTCCAAGACGTGGTTCGCGCAGGACTGCAAGTTGGATGCACCGGCTATTTCACCATGTGGGGGCTGGGCACCCAGTGCACGAAGCGGATCTAGTGAATCTAGTGGCCCTCAACGCTCAACAGGGGAGCAGGCTACATGGCATGTCTTGCATGAGGTCTCGCCAGCTGTCTCGCCAGAGCTTCCTCCCTAGTAGGGTTCAAGAGCAGAGGTGGAGATATGTGGTGTCATCATCGTTGCAATCACCTTCGCACAGTCATCAGACTTCTCATTCTCTTGTACATCTCCTCAGGACTACAACCATCATTACAATCATTCGCATGATTTCCATCATCCACATCCTCATCGCCATCATGGCCATCGTCGTCGTCATCGTCATCGTCATCGTCATCGTCATCGTCATCGTCATCGTCGTCGTCATCACCAACAGCATCATCCTCATCATCAGCATCAACATCGCGACATCGGCATCAGCCTGACTCACCATCGTCACAATCATCACCACCGTCATCATCACCCTCATCATCATCACCATCATCATCATCCCTATTACCAGCATTTGCATAAATCACCACCATCCTTGCCATCATCGTTCTGTCGTTGCGTGCAAACAAGAGTTTCGTTCCAGCTTCTGTTGTCTTGCTTGGCGTTCGTCTCCGGCTGTCGCTTTCAGTGTGAGCGTGCTCTGGCCGCAAGCCCGATCCTTGGAGACAAGCTCCGTCGACACCACGATGCCTAGAATGCCCAAAGAGGATGATTCCCAAATCCAAAACCCGGAGACGCCAAATATGCAGTTGCTCCAAGCCCTAGAATATTTGCATAAGCGTAAGGAGCCTTCACGGCGGCGAAAACCGTGAGCATCATGATGGCGGATCAGGCTGTCGTGTAAGCGATGCGGATAGATGTTTTGGCTTGCTTTATCGCAAATGATAGAATCAGATAGAATGTAGCTAAAACCCTATACTGGCGGCCGGTTTGTTCGCAGTTAGGGGTCAGGAGTGAGGGTTCAAGGTCTACGACCTACGACTCCAAGGATCCCGGATCTCGCCCGGACTTTTATAAGGAAAACATAATACGGAGCCCTAAAAAGGTAGGTTATTCAGGGTTAAGGTGAACCCTAAACCGTCTCCTGCACGGTTGTCACAGAGATGGCGCGTTAGGAGTTCTGGAGTGTCTGGTGTCAGATGGCGCAACCCTAAACCCTAAACCCTGGTCTTTTCAGACATAGGGTCAAGGGTTCATTTTCCGTAGTTTAGGATGTATGGTTCAGCTTGTCGCAATCGTGTGCACTGAAATCTGCGACTTCTGCAGCATCTCATAGGGTCGTTCAGGTTAAAGCCAGAGCTTGACAAACCAGGACTGATGGCTATAGTACAAGATTCAAGGTTTAGGCTCTGGGGAACTTCGAGTTTAGGAGTTGGCGGCGTATATAATGCTTAAGCTAAACCCTTGAAGCCCTAACCCGAACTCCTAAACCCCTACACCCTAAAGCCCGAAACCTGGATAGAGTTTCGGGGCGTGGTGGGATCCTCTTCTTGCAGAGCTGTGTCACGCAGGCGGGTGGAGATCGATAGCATTCTGGCTCAAAACAGGTTTTAGGGTTCTGATCGGGTTCTATGGCGAAGACGATAAAGGTTCAGTTTCTAGTAGTATAAGTTCGGTTTAGAGCCCAGGGTTTTATGGGTTTGCGGCTGGAGTTTGGGGTTCAGGGCCGGCGAGGCACTTCCTGGAATCCTCTGCAATGGAAACGCCAGGCTGACACTTTTGGGATCGCAGGATTTGAGCCCGAAACTCCCTAAACCCCAAACCCTGAACTCGCTGCACCCTATACCCTAGGCATGGTGCCCCATAAACCCTCAACCCTAAATCCTAAAACGCTCCGCTCACATCTTTTCAATGCCTCAGCTGGAGCGGCGGCCAAGACCAAGAGCTAAAGACCGCCATCCTAAACCCTACTGGAGGGCCTTAATAGTCACCTACACTATTTTGGGGGCTCGGCTCCTTACAGTATTGTAACTGTAGTATAATATATCCCCAAACCCTATTCTAATTATTATGGCCCCTATATTAAACCCTAAACCCTGAGCTACAATTTTAAACACAGAAAGCAAAACCGAATCCTCCCGGAGCGGTCCGGGTGGTGGCGCCAGCTCCCATGGCGACATGCGGCGCGCGGCAAGATGTGCAAGCCAGGTGCCAGCTCAGCTGTTGAGGGTTAGATTGCTCAAACCCCAAACCTGAGAGCATGAACCCTATACGCTAAAACTTGAAGACCAAAACTTAACCTTAAAGCCCAAAACTTAACTCGAAGCCCCGAAAGTCTAAACCAGGGAAGGGTCGGGTGAGGTTCATGCAGGGTTCAGCTTGCATTCTCAGCTTTTAGCCTTGGGTCGTAACTTCGGTTGCCTGACCTTCGGCTCGGGACAGTGTGGGTTCGTTTCAGCATTCTGGCTCCGAGTTTCCTGGCAAGCTTCCGCAGATCCGGAACCCTGTGATAGAGACCCCAAGCTGTGTCGTGAGTACAGAATGTAGGGGCCTTAGTAATTAGAACAGGGTTTTGAAGGTATGGTATACCATGATTATAGTAGTGAACCCCCAAAACACTAGTCTCATGATCAAGAAACCCTAAACCCTAAAACGGGCCGCTACATTAATGCAAAGAGCTCGAAACAGAGCCTGAGTTCACGGCACCCTATGTTTACAGCTTCGAAGGTGGCGCACTTCGGGCCAGGAGCTGAGCAAAAGCCCCAAGCCCAAAGCGTAATATAGGGGCCTAAGCTATACTATTTTGGGGGTTCCTTTAAAGGGTTCCTTAAAGGGGTCTATAAGGGATCTATAGTAGGGTTCTTTAAATTTTGAATAGTAGCCTCAATAATTACCAACACAATACTATTTTGGGGGCTCCTTCTTATAACTATATGTAGTATAATGCGCTCCAAATCCCTGTTCTAATTACTAAGGCCCCTATATCAAAGTGCCAGGAGAGCCCCTGTCGGATTTTACGGTTCAACCTTCGGGTGCCAGATCTTATACCCTAAACCCTAAACCCTAAACCGTATAGGGAGCTGAAAGCCCAAAACGAGCCTGGCAGGGCTTGTAGGGCTTTCGGGTTGAGCCTTGCAGCTTACTATAGGGGCCTGAATAATTGGAACAGGGTTTGAGGCCCTTTATAGCATAATTATAATAAGGAACCCTAAGGAATACTATAGGTAACTATGTAGGCTTCTATATCACGAATTTGGGTCCCGGAACTCTGAGACTCTACCCGAAAATCCCACAGAGAGTAGTCTTCACCTCAGCCTCCTCCGTTCCATACCCCGAAGACTTTTCCAAGAAACCCCTAAACTCCCCTACTCTAAACCCTAAACCCGAGACACAGCAAGTCTTGAAAGTTTTCAGGGCTTTAGGTTCTGTGTTGAAAGTTCAGCTGTGTGGCTTAAGGCCCTACAACCTAAGCCCTCAGCCCTAAGCCCTAGACCCTTAGCCCTGCGCCCTAAACCTTAAGCCCTATGGCTACGGCTCAAGCTGTTGTGCTCGAGGCCCTGCCAGGTCCCGGTTTTCTCTTTGATCGATTTGCCCCTGGGCCTTCCTTCCTCGTCCTGGCCTGTGGTGCACGTGAAGCCCGGGGTGTCCCTGAAGGAGCAGTTCCTGTGCTGTCTGCGTTACCTGATCCTCCCGAAGGTCTTTGCTGGTTTGTCACGGTGCCTGAGGAGATCGGCATTCGCGTGTGCTTCCTCTACCCGGCCGGTCAACTTCGCGGAGGACTTTTGGGGCGACTTTGGGAACTTTGGAGCTTCTTTCTCTCTCCCTTGCCTTCTTCCTCGTGGGTGAACTGTGTCGTTGTGCCTGGTGGCTCGTCCTGTGGAGGGGTGAATTTTCTTCGCCTCCTCTTCTTCATCTTCTTCTTCCTCTACATTCTCAACCTCGTGGGCGAATTGTTTCGTCTTCACCTTCTCCCTTGCCTTCTTCCTCTTCGACGAGATGACGGACAATCAGGAGACCCAGCAGGAGTTGGAGTCCCTTTCGAACATGCAGGTGGACGTTGTAGACGTTGATAATGATCGCCTTGGGTCGCCGACGGAATTAGCTTAGGCTTCTGACGCTGAGGAGGGTGATGCTGAGATGCCCGCGAAGCTCGAGAAAAGGAAGAGGCGCGAGCCAGCGACTGGTAGTGTTGATCCCAGAGCACGCCCTGTACCTGAGTCAGATGACGAAGATGAAGATAGCCCTTCAAAGCGTCCCCTACTTTCGGATGATAGGCCTCTCACTGCCCGTGAAATCCGCGAACTCCTGGGACACGTCACGGATATGAGAACTGCCTGGGATTCCTTTCGCGGGAGGCTTGACTCTGTCGAGAAAGAGCAAAGCAAAACTGGCTTTGAAGTGGCCAACCTACAGTCTCGGACGCGTGTGTTGGAAAAGGATCAGGGGCAACAGAAGCAGACGGTCCTCAACCAGGCCAAGGCTCTTGAAGACTTGACGTCTGAGGTCAACAACATGAAAGTCAAGATTGATGATCTCAGCTCCAGATCGGCATCTAGTGGTGGACATGGACATCCTGGACCTGGTGCAGCTCCTTTCGTTCCGAGTGGTGGCGATCCTTGGGGTGAATATCTTCGCCAACGACAAGCTGTACAACCCACTGTCGCACCGAAAGATACCACTCGTCCCCCTGGTGGTGGCTTGCCTGACGATAAGGGTGACTTTCTTTCGGAGGAAGACAAGAAAACCTTGGTCTGGGGTGGTTGGCTCCAAGACACCAAGCGTTCAGTGATTGAAGAGGAGTCCGGGGTGATCCTGCAGATGCCCGAGATTCAGGCCCTGGTCGACACCGACAAGCTACAGATCTTTGGCCCCAGACGCTCTGTCGGACTTCTTCGCTTCAAGGTCCGCGAGGGTGAGTCCTTTCAGGACACTAAGGGTCGTATGTGGGAAGTTATTCGTGCCTTAGCTCGGATCAAACACACTTTGCCCAGCACGTCGGCTACGGGAGAAGACAAGACACTGTGGGCCTCCTTCGTGAAGACTAAGAATGCTCGCGTTCGCAGTGCCCATGTAAGCATGATTCGCAGGGTTGCCATCTCGCTCGCCAAGGACAACCAGCCTGCCAACCAAGGGGTGAACACTTTGATCGGTTCCTATGATTGCGATTGGAATCTAGGAACCGTATGGTGCGGAAGTGAGAAACTCGGAAGCTCTACTCATCGTCAGCCCAAGGACCAAGACGAGTGCGTGCTCCTCACCGGAGGCTGGGTGAATGTTTCCGCGGTCGCGAGGATTGCAGGGTGCTCTACGGATGACTCCAAGAGTGCCTTTGAACGCGAGCTGTGATGCCGACAGCTTGATGGTTTCACACCTGATCTGAATTCAGACCTCCAGGTTCGGGGTGACCCTTCTCTTCCTGAGGAAAGTGGGGTGATTTCGTCCAGTCCGTGTGCAACACGCAGATGGGGCAGAACGTGTTCCTGGAATCTGGGTGGTCAAAGTGTTGGACTGCTTGATCTCGCTTGTAAAGATTGCGATGTTGCCTTTGTTCAAGAAGTTGCTCGGGAGGAAGTTGGTTGGAACACACACGACAGTGATGAGTTTCACTGGGTGACTTTTAGAGATTCTCGTCAATGGAGAGGAACGGGGATTGGGATCGCCCTTGATAAGTTCGACTCTGTCCTGTGGAAAGCCTCGTCTGAACGGGGAATTTGGATCGTTGCGAGAATTCATGGCCTCGGAAGAGTTGTACTAGGCTCTGTTCATTGCCACACCGGTGTCACGACGGCGATTTATCAAGCGGCTGCCCAAGAATTTGCGAGACTTTGCCCACGACGATACCGGCATCTCCCTGCCCTTTGTGGCGCCGATGCTAATGAAGTTCCTGTTTGGGATGTTCGTGAGGACGGCTTGCTTCGGATCGGCACTTGCTGTAACAATCTTGAGTCCTTCCTTCATGGCATGTTACAACAAGGAGTACAGCCAGTCGCGCCTCGTCCTTGTGATCGCCACGCTCCCACCTATTTCCCTCGCGACTCTACTAGACTTGGACGACAGATCGATATATTGTTTGCCAGGTCCCTGCACGTCTGTCCTACAGTCATTGAACCAGATCGGAGACACATCATCGGATCGGATCATGCGATCGTCATCGGTGATGTCCTTGTTGCTGGTGGCCCTGTCAAATCTGTCTGGGGCAATGACTCCCGGGCTAGATGGGTCTGCCGTGATCTGCCTGATGTCGAGATTGTCGATGAAGATGACCTCATTGACTTGGCAAAGAAGTGCTCAAAGCCTCGTGGCTCCCAGCAATATCGTGATAGTGACGAGGTTAAGAATGCAATCCTTGCTGCTCGTGTCTCTGGCACACCTCGTGATTGGAAAGCTGTGCACAAGCTTCGCCGTTCCCATCAGAGATCCTGGATGCAGTCAAGGCTCACCAAGATTCTCAATGGCGACTGGGACCAATACCGGCAACTTCAGAATGAGCGCAAACGTCGACGAGGGTGGTGGGGCAACATGCTGGCAGAGAACAGCTCGGTTGACCTCGCCGAGTCCATCACGGAGCACCTCAAGAGCAAGATGACCAGCAACACACGCACCGCTGATGAGTGGGAGCACGAGCTTGCTAACATCATTCATGACGCTGCAGAGGATGACACCTTTGTCCCCTTCACCTTGTTAGAAGTCCGGGAGGAACTTAACGGGATGAAATGTCGCAGCGCCGTTGGACCTGATGGTATCGGAGTTCATCTGCTTCGTGAATGTGCTGATCATGAAAACATTGGACCTCGTCTCTTGAGCCTCATCAACCACATCGTCGCAACTCGTGAAATGCCTGCAAGCTGGGAACGCAGTTTCCTTGCACTCCTTGCGAAATGCCGTCTCCCCAGCCAGCCAGGTGACCTCCGTCCTATCTGTGTTTCGTCCGCCTTTCACAAGCTCGTGAACCGCCTTGTCTGTGCCAGAGCGTTGCCCTTGATGAGAAGAGGGTCGAAGATCAGCTGCTGCGGAAAAGGGCGGCAAGCTGCAGATCTGATTGGCAGCCTTTCGCGTCTTCGTGACGTTACAAAGGAGTGGTGCCACCCCCTTATTCTGTGCAAGCTCGATGTAGCTGGTGCATTCGATAGAGTCGATCGAGCTAGCGTTGCTGAGCTGCTCCGCAAGAGACTTCGCTGTAAAGGGGTGAGCTTTGAACTACGATATCTTCTCGCTCAACTCGGGGTGCATGAAATTGTGGGAAATGCTCCTGGCGGCAAACAGGTGCTGCTGCGACCCGACAATGGGATCAAGCAAGGTGCGCCCGAAAGTGCCGAGTTGTTCGGGTTGGTTGTTGACACCCTTCTCTCCGACCTTGTGCACTGCAAGCAGTGGGGTGACCTTGGATCTCCGATCGCTGAGCTTGACATCGACCTTCTCTTCTACCAGGATGACGTTTTCTTGGTCGAGACCCAATTTGGTCGTCTGTGCAAGCGGATCGGGGTGGTTGACCGTTGTCTTCGTCAAGCGGGGTTGACCCTTGCCAAAGATAAGACAAAGATTGTCGCCAATGAGCACTACACCGGCCCTCGTCGTGCTGTCGTCGGCGCTGATATTTACGAGCTCGCAGCAAGGGGTGACAGTCTCAAAGTTCTTGGAGTTGCCTTTTCTCTGTCTCGGGATGCGTCCGAGCAAGCGAAAGAAATCATTGGTCGTACCCGTGATGCTGCTGCTGCTCACAAAGACATCCTCTGTGCCCCAGGAGCCTGGACACACAAAGTGTCGATCATGCGCACGCTGGTTGAATCCCAATTTAGTTGGACTGCTGGCGCCCTTCACTGGAGTAAAGATGACCTCCATGCCCTTAATGTACTCCAGCAACATACTTGCAGATCCGCTTTTGGACTGAAACGAGTTGCATCTGAAAACTGGGTGCAATGGAACCAGAGAACGATGCGCTTTGTTCGAGTGTGGCTTCTGAACAATCATGTTCCACGATGGTCGGAGCGGATCTTGACGTTACAGCACACACTTCATGGTCATTGGGCACGGCGTACTGAAGTCGTGCGGGGTGTTCCTCGTGCCTGTGCGCCTATGCGCGCTCTTCTCTGGCGGAACACGCATTGGTGGCGCGCGCAACAAGATCTTAGTCCCAGTGTTTCAATGCGGCATCCCTGTCAGTTTTATGCCTCTTACCCAGAGTGCCAACTTTCGCAGAGCTGCGGCAACCTTTGGTATGTCGCTGCCCAAGATCGAGCAAACTGGTCTCATGCCCGACGAAAATACCTTGAAGAATGGGATGTGCGTTGGGCCAGTGGCCGTCAACTTACTATTCGTTGCTGATTGTCCTCTGGACGGCAGCTCATGTGAAGCTCTTTGCGTGGGTTGATTTGCTGCTGTCGGGATGACCTTCTGCCTTTCATGCTTCTCATTGTTTTCTCTACATGGCAAATCTCTGAATCGTTCGATGTGAACTTCAGTCGATGCATAAATACTTCTGTCTACATGCCTGAGCTGCAAGAACAAATTTCTGACCTCTTGCTTGTCTCCGTGCTGCCCTGGCCCAGGTGTGAAAACTTCCGCCCTTTCCCCTTTTCTCCGTGAACCCTCACTGGTCATGGCGCGGGCGATGTTCATGTGGAAGCGGCTTGCTCTCTTCGCAGCTTCTCTCTGTGGCTGTGTTCATCATGGTGACCGTCAACGCGATGACCCCTGCCGTCCGTGGACTCAGGAGGAAGTCGCAGCTCACATGGCTGCTGTTTGGGAGGATGATGAAGTTGTTGCTACCCTTCCAGTTGGAGATGTCTGGGGACAACCTACAGGAGGTGACATGAACTGCTGGGACAACTCGTGCTTCACTCCTACCGACGCCGCTGTACCCCATCATACTTCGTCCTCGCCTGCCTCGTCTTCCTCGTCTATGGCGGCCACTACTCACCACCCGGCGACTTCTTCCTCCTCTACCTCGGCTTCTTCGTCTACGAGTTACTGGTCTCCCTCGGGAACCTCCCACACTGGAAACCAGCCCCACATCAACAGTGATGCTGATATCTCCTGGGCGCTGCACACTGGGATGATTGGTTGGGATGGTGAGGAGAATGATGGTAGCCTCGGCATGCTTGCTCCCATTCCTGAAGATCTTCCCTTGCCCTTTGGAAATGAGACGCCTACTGCAGCTGCCCAGGAAGATGGCTCGCCACCTTCCTCGTCTGCCAACCATGGCCGGTCCTCAATTTCCTTGACTTCTGCGTCTTCGGGTGATTGGCTGGAACTACTTCGTGATCACCGCGTTCTTCGTGGACGAACTCGTGCTGAAGATGGAGAACCTGGCCAAGACCCTGCCCCTGCTGAAGATGGAGGACCTGGTCGAGACCCTGCTTCTCTCTTGGTGACACCCTCCCCGGCGACTACTGCTGCCTCCTCCGACGGGGGTGAAGTGATTGGGAGAACTTCGCGTTTTGGTCGTCCTCGTAGCGGTGTTGATAGATGGCATCATCCTGATGGATCTGTACGCAATCGTGCACGTGAAAGGAGAGAGGCGTTGGATGCTGGTCAGGCTTCTGGGAATCCTCATGATGAACGGCAGACCAGGCCCTTCACAGTGACTGGTGACGGCGAAGTGCGGGGAGAGCCGGTCGTCAAGGCCACCAGCTTCTATGGGGAGAACTTCCTGATCTGGTCCAATCGTTCCAGTACGTCCCTTGATGTGTCTACCACTGCTGGCAGCTCTGCTTCGGGTGGCGAAGCGAACAGCTCCGAGCCAGACTCCTCGTCCACTGATGGCTCTGTTGGATTCTGGAAACATGGTGTCTGGCATGCGAGGGAGCGATCAGCGACTGAGCAAAGATCCCATCGAGGAGGGCTCGGACCTCAGAGGATGGCGAGAAAGTCGCAGAGAATGCTGTCTTATATGGCCGGCACTTGGAAACCTGCTTGGTTAGTCCGCTATGCTGAAGAGAAGGAAGCAAGGAACCGACTTCGAGAAGAATGCTCTGGTGGCAGCTCCCCATCTGCAGACGTCCCTGAGCCAGTCGTCGACCCGAAGATCATGGCAGCCTTCCTCGGCAAACCCTCGCCAATGGACTCGTCGGTGAATAAGACTGTTATCGAGGTCGAAGAGGAGCAAACTACTGTGAGCGACCCTGTTGCAGAGGATTGGGATCCATGGTCTGGGCAATCGTGGCACCAGTCCTGGTGGGACGATTCATCAACTTGGTCGTGTTAACCTCGTGGACCTCCCCGGAATCTTCGTGGATGCAGAATTGGCAGTCGTGGCAGACTTGGGATGAATGGCACTGGACTTCTACTTCAACGACCACCTCAACGACCTCCTCTTCGACGAGCCCCACACTGCCCAAACTTCGGGTTGGAACCTACGGTTGTGGAAGCCTCCGACATCGTCCACTTCATGCAGATGACAGGAGCGGAAAGGGCTAGCCTCCAGGAGGCCGGCGTCCCTCGTGACTCCATCGACCGCCTGGAGCAGTTCCTTCAAGCCTTGGACTTCCACAACAATGAAGATCGAAGGGCCTGAAGCCAGATGGGCACTTGGCCGGCTCCTCGAAAGAGTTGAAGATGGCCTATCTGTCGTGGAATCGATCTACGGTGTCCTGGTGCGCAGACTACTCCCTCAGGGGTTTCTTCCAGTTCAACGACTGCCTGCGGATGAAATGCTTCGCTGGCGATTGTTTAATTGGGCGCGGAACCTTGCTGATACATTCACCGGGTGCTTCGACCGCCACTTGCAAGTCCGACTTCAGGCTGGTGAAGGTCCTGACGGGAATACAGTGCCATCGGACATGGGCCCTGAACCTTCTCCCACGGCGACTGTGCGTCTGGAACCTAGTGTGGGAAATGTTCCGGCGGCTTCGCCCCCTTCCAGTGAAGAAGACCAACTGGCACGTTCGAGAAGCAGGAGCAGGAGCCGCAGCAGAGGCTCCGCCTCGAGCCAAGGTTCGACCAACAGTTCGGGAAGGCCTCCCTCCATGAACAGCGAAATGGCGTACAACGAACACGGTCAGCTTGTGTGCATACTCCCTCCTCATCCTGGTGAAGCGACCAATGGTCCACCACCTCCACTGCCAGTAAATCTTCCCCAACACCTACGCCCTGGGTCGACTGGCACAATCCATGGATCTGAAGCTGAAGCTCTCAATGGTGCCTTACTGGGTATCTGGTCGGAACCTGCCACTAGCTCCACTACGTCGACCACTACTTTGGAGTCTGATGGACACAGCTTCGTCCAGCTTCCGGGAAGAAATGGAATCTTCACTGGATCTTCTATGTCTCTGGTTGGATCGAGTTCTTCCTCCTCTGTCTCTTCATCGTCTTCGTCTTGGTCGAGCACTACCTGTACTTCGACTTCTACGCCGTGGACGACACTGACGTGCTCTATCACAAGGCAGATTAGAAGGTGCACTGACTGGAGGATGTTGTCCCGAACCGCATGTGTTGATGCGGGGATCGTGACTTGCCCTCTAACTTCAACCTCGACTACAACTTCTGCTCTCACACCAGAAGATGTGGTACGAGATACAGTTAACCGTGAGTTGATGTATGGCAGCACCGCGGACATCATCGATGTTCTACATCGTCTGCAAGCTCGCCAACGACGTCTCCAGCACTTGGGTCGACTTGTTGGCATTGCCATAGAGGAGGCCCTGACTTGGGTGCCTAGTCCTGCCCACTCCAACATCTTCAATGGTCCCACCATGGAGATGCAAATGTGGGGTGTTATTTCTCATGAGGCAAGTTTTGGATCAAGGCCTTCTACCTCGGGTACGACACAGGTGGCCAACACTGCTGCTGCTTTGTTACAGCCTGGTCTACCTCCGAACCTCCGCAGCCTCTGGAATAGTCTACCCCACTTTGAGCCACATACTATTGTGGGACTTCGTCGTCGAGCTTGGAGACATCATGCTCGTACACTGCATGTTCAACAAGGTCGCGAGCCGCCAGGAGGTTGGTGGCCATCAGAACATGATCAGACATTGTATCTGATTCAAACTGATGAGCATACAGCCCCGGACAATCTTCCTGCTGGCATGCTTCCTCCTGAGCTACCGACTCGTCATCGCACATGCACCAGACGTCGACATCATGTGCCGAGACCTCCCACATTGCTGTTCCCTCAGGGCGGACTAGGTGACATTGTTGGTGCTCGACCACATGTACCCCGACCAGCTGCTGAACCTCTTCCAGCTGATCTTCTTGCTCGAACTGCTGATGGACCTCTTTGTGAAGATCCTCGACATCGTGAAGGATCACCTGTAGCTGATGAACATCTGCCTGGACTCGGATCTGGTCGTTCTCGTACACGTGAGCGAAGCCGCAGTCGTGACCCTAACTCTGCCAGTTCGTCTTTGGCCTCTTCTTCGTCTCGTGCAGCGCAGTCGAGCCCTCCAGTGGTCAGTTCTCGTCGCCGTGGCATCGAAGTCGTTGACTAGTGAGCGCATGTCTGAGGGCTGTCTTTTCAGATCTGGTAAGGGATCTGTTTTCAGTGCAAGCCGGAAATCGGCTGGACCTCTCGCAGAAAAGGCCCCACTGCACTTAAAAAAAAAGAACGAAAACCCAAATCCCCAAACCCACGAGATTCAAGCTCTGCTTTCTGTTTTTCTTACTCACGGTTTCAGGGCGCTCCCAGGCGCCCATGACAGGCGGACTCCAGTTTAGCGGTCTTCCTTTCAGGGCTTTCAGAATACATAATAGACATAGTATAGAAATATACCCGATGTAGTGAATAATGTGTAATGCGTAATAGATGGTATGTAGAATATCGTCTATAGTATACCGTATATCGTATATAATGGTATACAGTCTATACTGCAAAGTATACAGTACATCGTATAAGAATGAGGATCGTGCTAGTTCGGCTTCTACGGGCCATTTTTCTGGGACCCCGGTACAGAGCCAAGGGTAATGTCGGAACCTGATTAAGAAATCCTGGCCCTATACGCCCCCAAGTAGTAGGATTCATATAAGGAACCCTAATTAAGACCCATGGTTTGTTAATCAGGTTCCTACATTATGCCGAAGCAAGCCTTAATCTCCACATCCTCTGGGGCCGCTAAGTCCGCATGAAATAGAAAGTGTACCTGGGCCCTACAACAAACTCCGTTTTAGGGTTCCCTATCATGATTTTCCACATATTTGGGGTTTAGGGGTTGTTTGAGTCTGAAAGACATTCGGATAGTTGCCGTGAGCTCTTTGTACGATGGATCGCATCCTCCACGACCCATGCCGTTCCACGGGGTTGGAGATGACTCGACGAAATGCTCCGGGATGATGCTGCGTAGATGTTAAGCCCTGCTGCAGCTCGAGAGTACGTATGATGAAGTCCGGCGATATGAGAGTAGCCATCGCTTCCTCAACGAGATGTGGTGACAATGTCGGGGTGTCCCAAATGTAAACGTCACATGGAACCACTTGGAGCTCGGTGTGCCTGCGCAGCTTAGGCCTTGTGTACGGCCTGGTGCATGGCAACATTGTGAAGATGGGCAAGACTTCATGGTCTTATTCTCGCAAGCGTGTGCCAGCGCTCGATGCAATGCATCGTCGGCCACCTTGAGTTCATCTTGCTCGCTCGTTTTCTCTACACATCGCTTGTATCTCGGCATTTGCAATGGCCTGGCTAAATGGCTGAATACCCCCAAGCTGTCCTACGAGTATATAGGTCTGAACATCGGGCGGTACTCGCCGCATTGAGCGACGCTGGCAAAAGCAGCCCTGTTGTACCCAACCCAACCCAACCAATTGTCCAACAACCCATCCCAGCTACCCTAAAACCCTAATACAGGGGTTTAAATAATTACCAATACTATTTTGGGGGCTCCTTGTTATAATATAGTATAGTATACCCCCAAACCCTATTCAAATTGTCGAGGCCCTTATATTAAACCCACAAGACGAGGGCTTGAACCGTGAAAAAAGGCCGACATGGCTTTCTGGAGACACGAGCGGCGGATGGAGGCTGGTGCAGGAGAGGTCCGAAAATGAAGCCCTACCCTAAAGCCTAAACCCTGAACCCTACATTCCTCCACGTTGGCACTCCTCTAGTTCAAGCCATCTGACATGTATGTACTATGGGAGGTGGGAGTATGGGGGTGTAACTGACTACCGATTCGGTGGAGCGAACAGTTTCTGCAATCTCTGACCCAAACCCTGTCTATGCAGGACATTCGACGCTCGATGGAGCGGGGTTCAGAATCTGGAGACTTCTTTGCAATGGAAATGACTACAGTAAACGCCCACAAGTTGGAAACCCAATAGCCTCAATCCTTAAGAGTAATGTATAGGGAAGCACTATTTGGCCTTAATCCGGTTTCCAACTCTATGGGGTTTACAGTATTGGTCAAGTATCCGAGTTTCCCTCACTACAAACCCGCATCATCGCACCAGAAGGAGCTAGCGTGTCCACCTCCCCACACCAGTGCACTTCATGTAGAGTGTCTGTCGTTGGCTGACTGCATGCAAAGCTGGCTAGAGACGCTTTCGAGCCGTATTGTACATTCAGCCCTAAAGCCTTGTAAACTTTGCATCTAAAGTTAAAACCCCAAATTTGAGGCTTTAAGGGCCCTAAATGCAGGCTCTAAAGCCAAAACTAGCCCCAAAAAACCAAACCCCAAACCCTGAAGCTCTCGACCCTTCAACAGCCTCACCCCCTGCAAGCCCCCTAAGCCAGCCCTCAACCCTACACCCTCAGCCCTAAACCCTAAACCCTAAGCCAGCCCTAAACCCGAAACCCTAAGCCCGAAACCCTACTCCAGGCCCAGGCCAGTTTGCCTGGGTTGCCCCGGTGGAGAAGCTGGACCACTTCAGCCAGCGCGCCCGGCAGGTCGGCGAGTCAAAAATTCTGGAGCTTGGGGTTTCGGGTTTTGGGGTTATGGGTTTAGGATTTCAAAGTTTCTGGTTTAGGAAGTTTAGGGTTTAGGAATTTCAGGGCTTAGGGTTCAGGGTTTAGGGTCTAGGGCTCAGGCTTTATTCGTGTTTAGGGCTCAGGGTTCAGAGTTTAGGGTGTGGGTTTGGAGACCACCATCACCACCATCACCACCATCACCACCATCACCACCATCACCACCATCACCACCATCACCATCATCATCATGATATCATCACCGTCGTCATCTTCATCACCAGATGTACTGCCGATGCCCGTGAGTCGGCTAGGAGCAAGCCGCAAGCCCACATGGCACGTCAAGCGCTATACCCAAGCTCCCCAGAAAATCCTTGAAGACCCAGATCCCACCCTTTAGTGAACCCCTCTGAAGCCCTCAACCCCAAAGCCCTGCAGCAGTGTTGCGCTCCGGCCTAAAACCTAAGCTTTTCAAGCCCCGAAGCCTAAAAAGCAGAGGCCTTACCAAAAGAGACTTTCGCCACAAATGCTGCGAAGCTTGGCAGGAAATGGGAATTCAGGGGACCCAGATATAGCTCCCTAAACAGTAGGATCCTTATTACAAGGACCCCAAATAGGTACCCCTAATTTTCGGAACCCCCCCCAAATCTCGGGGCTCAAGGTCCGGCTCAAAGCGTTGAATGAATATTAGGGCTCTTGGGTTCAGAACATTTTAGGGGGTTTAGGGTTTGGGGTTCAGTGTTTAAGGTTCAAGGCTGTCCTAAACCCTAAGCCTTAAACCCTAAACCCTAAACCTTAAACCTCTTTCTTGAGTTGTCAGGGCTCCTCTGCATCCCCGGAGCTACAAGTTGGATGCGCAAGCTTCGAGGTAAACGATCTCCCAATTCGAAGGAACCACTTTAGGTATGGATGTGGTGCTATGTCCCGAACTTGAGGGCATGCAAGCTAGACGACCAAGTTCTAAACAAACAGTCATCAAAGAAGCCCCAGAAGCTATGGATCAGGAACCCTCATCTGCTCACTTAAAGAGGGGATTATGGGATACCTCAAGCTGATGGCTCGTGTTTAGGTATGGCCTTTGGTGGGCCTTGAGGGCTTTTCGGGATTACATGTAGGGTTTAGGGTTTAGGTTTAGGGTTTAGGGTGTAGGGTTTAGGGTTTAATGTTTGGGTTTACGGTTAAGGCATCTGTGGGGCAAAATTTAGGTTTGAGGGAAGTCAGCGCTGCGGCATCACCCATTGTACGCAGGACCTGGCCCTAATGGGAAGAAGGCAAGACCAAAAACTGAACCTCAAAGCCTAAGGGCCTAAGACTCATATAGAAGTCTGAGGAATCAGAAATAGTGCTTCTACCATGTGTAGTGATGGTTTCTGGCCGACAAGGGCGAGGACTGGAGTGGACCATCCCATTTCATACTGTTGATGGACAAAATCCTGCATTATCCATTATACGGAATATACCATACTTCCCATAGTTTAGAGCCCTTAGGGTCATGCAGGATTTTGTCCATCAACAGTAGCACAAGCCCTGTATGCCCCAACCGAAATGTCCACTTCTGTGTCTGTCAGGATCTTTTACTGGGTCTCGAAAGCCTTCAAAAGCAACGAGATCGAACTTGACGAGGAGACTGAGTAATGTAGAAGCCTGAACATATACAAATGATTGGCAAGGGCTATTGTAGCTATACCCCCTATGATACTGCAGCCCAAGAGTACATGTCTTCGTAGTCTTCCCTGTGTGCCGGCAGCGTATCAGCGAAGCACTGCTTCACTGGCTTGGGCTCTTGCAGTTTTAGTGCCGACCTCTGCCGATCGATTCCGCAAGCGAACCGGCATGTCGCCTATTGTTCTGAATACAGCAGGTACTTTTTTAATTGCTGAATGTATAAAACTTGCACCAACACCAAGGCTGCATTATGATTTTGAATAAATGATCGTGATTCTTCTAAACAGAATGCTAATAATTTCAATGCATGAGGAAATTCGTCCCATGAAGCCCTCTGAATCATAGAAGCTTGAGTAAGTGTAATTCTTCCATATCGCCGTACTACAACAAACTCCAACGGTATGGCCCCAATATGATTAGGCTCTTTCGACCTTGAACCTAATATAGGGGCCTGAATAATTAGAATAGGGTTGTGGGGCGCATTATTAGGCCCCTATGCTAGCTTCAACTCTTCCAGTGGGCAACGTCCTCCGGTCCCTTGTCCTAAGACCCGGACCAATAAGCCGAACCGCGAAACCCAAATCCCTCAACCTTTTCGGCTTTTCTAGACCTGAGAAGGCAAGCAACTGCAGAAAGGCCCGAAAGGAACAAACAGACCCTCAACCCTAAACCCTGTGCAAATCCTACTTTAGGCACGTGGGGGGGATAACTGCGCCTGCTTTTTGCTTGTTCTTGCGGGTGCGGGCCCACCCCCCCCCTCTAGCCATGTAGCTCGATCTTCGGAGCTGCTTACTTGGAGGTTCTTGGGTAGATATATGTAGGGTTTTCTTGGTCCCCTGATATGTTTTTTGGTAACAGTTGTATTCTTCTAGTCCCTGATATGGTTTACAGTTATACTTTGGGTTTTCTTCGTCCCCTAATATGGCTTTTGGTAACAGTTATAGTTTTAATTTTCTAGTCCCTGATATGGTGTATAGTTATACTTTTATAATTACCTTACTTGTGACCCCACTTATCACTACCCATGAACCTCCAAAGTATTGGATGCCGGCAACACCCAGTGAGAGCAGGACCTGTGCCATCAGTGGATCAGCTACATCAGGCTCGCAGTTCGGGTTTACTATGTTAGCCTTATTAATTACCTATCCTATTTCGGGGCTTCCTTATTATTATTATTATTATTATTATTATTATTATAAGAGTATAATATCGACCCCGAAGCCCTATTCTAACTATTGAGGCCCCCACAGTAGGGTGGTAGGGTTGAGGCACATGACGACCCGTCATGAATGACCGTCCTTAGCAAGGATCGTGATCCGAGTGGGGTGGTCTTAAAATACGTGCCGATCATTCTGTGTATGCAACGCAATGCATGGCAATGGGATGCAGTGCTATAGTGTATTGCAGTGTAACGTATACATGCCTGTGTATAAGTACTCCGTATGTAAACCCAAAGCTTTAATTCCAAACAAGGGGCACATCTTTGACCGTACGCTCCTAAAGCTGTACAGCTATGTTCATCAAGCTGAGGCCAGAAAATCCCTGAAGCTTAAACTCTAGGCCCTGTATGCCTGAACCTTGAACCCTGGGCCTTTGAACAGAAACAACCGAAACCCAAAGATTAAACCCTTTAAGAAACCCTCAACCCTAAACCGTGCAATCCCTGAACCGCCTCGTCTTTGTTAGGCAGCAGAGCCAAGTGTCCTCTGAGATGCAGCTGCTCAACATCCTACAAAGCTTGATCAAGGCAAGGAAGGTTCCAGGGTTTAGGGTTTAGGGTTTAGGGATTAGGGTTTAGGGTTTAGGGTTTAGGGCTTAGGGGGATTATGGTTGAGGTCTCAGCAAGAAAGAGTGGGCGTGAGGTTTTGCAAAGGCTACAGGAGTTGAATTTCAGGGTAGCGGGAACAAGACACTTCTGGTGAGACGAGGTGGTTTGGTTTGCCAGTTTCTGTGCGATGCTTTTGAGGTGTATGTAATTCGGAGAATGTACCTCAACGCTTTAAAAATCTTTCGAAGTTACGGCGCCCAAGTTAGGGTTGGGGGTGTCGGAGCCCCGTGTCCCCGAACGCTGAAACCACGACCCGCAGACCCCAAAGCCTTCAACGGAGAACTTCTAGAACACTAGGATTTGGGGTTTAACGTTCCCCTAGGGTTAAGCCCTTATGGCAGAGACCTCAGCTGCCTCGTGCCGCAGCAGCTGAACCCGAACAAGCTGGAGTTCGCTCTTGCCGCCCAGCTCCATCAAGACTTCGGGATCGGGGCTTTGCAGTCTCCAGTAGGCTTTTGACGATTCTGGGCATGGGAGCTCAGCATTGCGGTATAGCAATACTTGTTCCTAGATCCGAAGGCGTGAAGGCCTGGAGAAGAGAGCCGAAACCCAAGTGTCCCAAGCCCTACTTAAAGGATCATGGGACTTGGTAACTAGGGTTATAATTAGGGTAACTATACTCATACCCCCACTTAAGGTACTTATACGCTTACTTACTAAGTCCCATGATCCTCCAAGTAAGCCCCTGGGCACTTGTGGCTTGGACCTTAGCACAACATCGACCTTCAAAGTATAGTCCTTAAAAGCCTAATGAAACCTTCAGGGAACAACCAACTACCGCGCCAGAAACCCTGAACCCTGGGCGCTGGGTGGATGATATCTTTGCTGGGCGTTGTCTTTCATGACAATATTGTCGTTATCGTCACTCGTGGTTTGGTGATGACGAGAACACCGTAGCATCATGCCCACTATCGAAAACAGAGACCTTTGCTTGCCACAGCCAGAGGAAGACAGTGCCCTGTACGAAATGGAGAAGGCAGCCGCCCGGGATTGCGTATTTGGACTCAGGCAGAGTATTCGTGATCCCAAAACCTCGGAACACGATGTGGAATTGAGGATATCTCTTCCCAAGCCCTAAACCCTGATCTACGACCTGTGGCAGGCGTGTCACGAGCTTTGCCGCGCCGCCGTGCCAGAGTCTGAGGAGTCGCCGAAACAGGGCCCATAAGGCTCAAGCGGAGCACCGTTCAAGACATAGCCCAAACGCAACAAAGCAACAATACGAGCATTTTGAGGGTTGGAGGCTGATAAGGCTGTTCAGAAGGCGGCCTCCGGCGAGTTTGTAGCCGAAAACTAAATGCTCGGGGGCTTCCAATACATGCCCGAGCACCAGAACCACGCATCGGTGCTGCAAGATGCCTGTAGTTTTTGTTACAAGTCATTGCAGCTGCCCGGCATTGTTCTGTGGCCTCACACGCGCACAGGGCACCGTCAGTGCAAGGTGATCCAAAACCCCAAACTTCCCAAAACATTCTGAGCCCTAAAGTAGTAGTTCTCTGCTGCCCTGAGGCCCCGTTTCGTCCATCGGCATCGGCACTTGCATATGCAGAATCTTCAATTGATCTTGCCAGGATCCCAGGTTTGGGGCTTACGGTATAAAACCATGTTTTAGGGTTGAGGATTCAGGATTCTGAGTGTAAGGTTTTCATATAGGGGCTTTAGTTCGCTCCGAACCAATGTAACCATTCAAGCGTCGCAGGTTTAGGGTTGATGGTTTAGTGCGAAACCAGATGTACCGAGTGAACAAAACCCTAAACCCTAAGGGCAAGCACAGCTTCTCGGACCGGCCTGGTGATAAGTCCGGGTTGAGGGTTCGGGGTTTGGGGTTTACAGGCTTACGGTTTACGGCCTGGTGAAGAGTCCGGGTTCAGAGTTCAGGGTTGCGAGCTTAAGGCTGTGGTTGAGGGTCCAACGCTCCCCTTCTTGGAGCAGTTTTGGGCCGACAGGTTCCATACAGCTCCATACCCTGGAAGCCGGGAAGCCCCCCAAGCTCAACCATCCTGGGGCCTTCCGCCAAAAGCCTGAAATCCCAAAACTTCAATGCCCGACGTGTTTCACCAAAAAAGCCTAAGAAGCCCTTCCAGGGCCTTCTACCTTGGTGTCAAACCGGAAAGCTAATGGCCAACAAACCCAAGACCCGAACCCCAAACCCTTAACCCCAAACCCTTAACCCCAAATCCTTAACCCAACAACAGAAACTCCGAAACTTTCCCAAAACACCGAAGAAACAAGCCTGCAGGTCCTCTTATGCGAGGGTGTACATCCCAGAGTACGCTTGCGTTTTCGAGGCACTCCCCGGAAGGATTCGGGCCCCATTGTTGAGTTTAGCGTTCTTAGGGGACCTTTCGGGTTTGTGTTGTTGGGGGTAACCGATTGAGCCGGGGATCGCCCCTGTACGCGACCGGGGTAGTCATCACTTGCGAATGAGGAGAAGAATAATCATGCCGACCTTGGTCCAAAAAACCCTTCAACCCCAAACGCCCAACCCAAAACCGTAGATGCTAGACTTCAAACTCTTCTGCGAGCGTCTCAGTTCCAACACAGAATAATATTTGGGCCCCAGTAAGGGGGTATAGTATACTATATTCATAATAAGGAACCCCCAAAATAGTATTAGGAATTATTAAGGCCTCTATATTATAGAACCCTGCTATAGATCCCTTAAAGACCCCGTTAAGGAACCCTTTAAAGGAACCCCCAAAACGTATAGTTAAGGCCTTGAAGCCAGGCAATTGGCCCGACACTGACCCAGCGGGTGCGTGCCGCTCTGGAGAAGGCAAGTTTTCTCTTCCGGAGTTGGGGTTTCTGGTTGTGGGTTCAGGGCTGACAGGTTGAGGGTTTAGGGGTTTAGGGTTTAGGGTTTAGGGTTTGGGGTTTTGGGTTTGGGGTGTCGGGTTTATGGCACCGGTTTATGGTCTTGGGTTCATGTCTTCAGGGCTCAGGGGTGCAGTGTTCTCGGTTTGGATAGATTGACGGACTTTCCATTTTAGCGGTTTGCGAAACCAAAAGCCCCAAACTTCCTGCCAATAGAGCTCCCGGACGCGCCCTGTTGACTTCCCGCCCCGCCAGCTTGGGTGGGGCGGAGGAGGCTGCGATCAGGAGATTTGTGTAAGAGCTTAGGAGCGTTTGCGGTTCGGAAGTGCTCAGGCTTCAGCGATCCATGACCGCTACTCATCATAGTCATTCGGTATCGTCGCTGCGTGTCCCGTCTCCGCCACTATCACCGTCAGTTGGTACAGATTGAGCTCGAAGGACGTATACTAGGGTTTGATGAGGATTGCCTATCACAGGAAGTCAGGGCACCATGAACTCAT